GTATGGGAGTTGACAAAAACAAGGGTTTGTAAAGGTGAGAGATGTTGGCTTATGAGAGGGTCCAATAGGAAAGCTCCCACTATGTAATAATACCACTACGTGCCGAAACATTAACAGAGTACTAGTAACCTCTCTAGAAACAACCTAACCTGTCAAGTGTCCAATGAATTTAAGCCATTGCTTGATGAGATCTCTGTTCTGCATAAACATCTCTGCTATTGTCTTGTGTGACAGGACATTGATGAAATCACTTACAATTGGCCAGTAACAATGATTCTTAAGTGTGGGACCTTCACAATCCACTACATCATGGTTGGAAACCATGTCTGTAAAAAAGAAGGGAATCAGTATCAGCAGACTTGGATATGAGTGCAAGATTGAGGGCAATGGTAAGTATTATTTTTTAATAAAAACAACACGGAAGTTTTTGTGCCTCTGATGGTAACTTTTTAGGACACTCTTATCCCTTATGTCTCTATCTGCTAGTCAGAAACAGGAAAAACTGAAATTCTTTCCTGTAAGGACTTTGGCATTTTAACGCCACGCTAAAACCTGATCTTGCACTCATAATCATATCTAGACTGTCATACCAGTCCAGCTTTGTTCATAGTCTAGTTATGAGGACAGTCACGTCTTTATCAACAGGAACTCTTACATGACTACACCTTTCAAATTCAGGTCTAAATAATTTCACCTTAGTTTGATACTCAATTTCCTTTGTCTCCAAGCTCTTTTCATAGAACACTTAGTCAGTCTAGGTGGTGTTTTTTTAGAAAGAGTTGACTATACAAAAGCAGTGTATTCGGTAGGCATACATGTAACATTCATATGGCTTTAGTCAGTCCCAAACTTTTCTCTACAAAACTGATAAAAACGTTTCTCTTACCTCCACGCCTAAATGGCTGCAGCAAAGGTCTTGCCATGTCATGTAAAACTTTGACCATGATTTGCAGTAAATTCTGCTCCTGTACTACTTTCTCTGCAAGGATTTTGTTACTGAATAACTGAACACTGACATGAACCACACGGTTTGACAACTGCTCCACAGCACGCTGGTCACCATTTTGTACCAGAGCCTTGGCTATCTTCTGATAATTCTGACAAAATACTCGTGTAAATGCTTCCTGTTGAAAATAATAATAATAGTAAGAAGAAGAAGAAGAAGAAGTAATAATAATAACAATAATAATAATAAACATCATTTATATAGTGCAAACATCTATATGAGTAAAAAATTCATGCATTGACATGTAAATGTAGCTGATTAAGTCTCACAACTTGTGACCACAACAATATTTATGAAATGTTGCCAATAACCACACATTTGCAACTAAAAATCTTAGAAAATACAAACCCAAATACACATGATAAAATTATCGTTAAGACAGATAACACATGACTATAAAGATGAATTATCACCAGATATTATTTACTTGGGGTTCAGATGGATTATAATCTGATTCAATCTAAAATTAGCTTTCAGTTCAATTGTCCATCAGACCTTGAAGGCATGCTGACAAAGGAATAATATGTTCACAGATTTTAATCAAGACAAAAAAAGAAGAGACTGTAAGGATCAGGGTTCCTTTATTTTGCATGGCTTCTTGGAAGGACTTGGAAAACATTTTGCAACTTCTCCTCCACAGGCCCATACTTTGAGACATCAGTGGAATGTTAAAACAATAAATACGTGTATCACCCGAGTGAATTGTTTTATTTATTTTGTCTTCAACTCTATACCTTCATCTAGGTGAAGCAACCATCTTTTAGTATAGATTTTGTCCAAAACACTGCAAATGATATGTACCAGTTCTAAAATAAACTGATCAGATCAAATTGGTTTATTCATTAACTACCTAGTGGCACATACCTTGTAGTCTGCATTTGGCAACAGATGAAGAAGAAATGTGACTATTTTCTCTGGAAATTCAAATTGTGTCACAAAGTCCATCAAAAAATCCAAAAATGTTACATTAGCAAAGTCATCCATACTGTCGGCAGACATGATACTTGAGCAAGAATTTGAACTATCCATTCTACCAATCGATGAAAGTGAAGGGCTACGAAATGACGAGGTACAAGAAGCAGTATAAGAAGTTCTCCTTTCCTTTAAAGTTCTTTCTACATCCATGATTTTCATCATCAATGACTCAGCTGCTATAGTTTTCATGGTGTTAGTGTCACATAACTGAACAAGAAAATTCACCAGGACCTTAGCATCATTCATATCATCTGATAATGGATCTGAGAAGTAAAATACAGAGATCAGTATACTATGTACATGTTCACTGTAGGTTTAACTTTTAAAGCCCTTGAGTAAATATAAATGGATAAATAAAACCTAATTTGAATTAAGGCCAACCCAAACTATTTCAACCACCTGAGTTGATTCAAACGCCAATCTCAATTCCAGCTGAACTAAATTCAAAATAAGAAAAATGCTCAGTTTGGTCAAACTACTTGCAGAATACTTTATTATGTTTTAGGTTTAGTACATGAAAAGTTCGGTATCTGAATCAAATCCATTCCAAAGCTTTTCCACAGTCGAAATTCCAGGCCCGGCTAGGCGTGAAGAATGGCTGAGCCGTTCCAAATTGAAATAGGCCTCGTTCCTAATTGATTCAGACGTCGAGCTTTTCATGTTCTTAATTCAATGTATTAGGTTTGGCTCAAGAAAAGATCGGCATCTGAACCGGGCCTTACTTGCCATCAGATGAATGACTTATGTACATGTACCTATTGCGTATGGTTCCAGTTCTTTTAGCTGTTGATGAAGCCTTACACAGAGCCTTGGAACAACAATTTGAGCCATGGCTAACAGTTCAGGAGGTGGATATTTCAAGACCGTGGTATCCTTTTTTCCATGCCGATGACAAAACCTGTAATGAAAAGATTTGTCGATACATTTTAGCCCCTTTATCTGAGCTCCTGCATAGAGCATGTTACAAGGATATGTCAGGGAACACACGACCATGCATCACAGATCTAGTCAATAGTAAACCAACTGAAGGAGTTCATAGAGACAAAAAGGCTAGAACCTTCTTCTTAATAACCCCTTTGAAAGCTAAAGGAGAATTTAACAAAATATCAAGAGTCGCTTACACTGTAGAGCTTTATTCAATGCACCCATTCAATTGTTATGGTAGTTTCATGGTGTTGCAGATGGTACAATCTCCGATGAAATTCATCATTCATTCATTCATTTGTTTCGCGTACCAAATGGAGGAAGGATAATCACAAGTCACTTACATGCAGAATCTCCAGATGCAAATAGAGTTTTAGAGTGATTACATGTATGTCAAGGATGTGCTCTAGCAGTTCCCAGGTGGCCCATAGCAGCTAACGTTTGTTCAAAGCCTTGTAAGTGTAAATTTGTTTCAAATTCAATTTTAACCTTCTCATTCCCAGAAGTTGCCAAAGTCAAAATTACACAAAAACTGAAAATAGTAACTGTAAAATGCTGATTATCATATATTATTTAAATAAAAAATAAATGGTCAAAGATGCTAGACCCTTCCTTTCTTTTAACATTTGATAAAGAGGAGTATATTTAAGCACATATCCATCAACACTGCTGGATAGAGGGCTTTAAAATAAGGTAACCTACCAAGTTTAAAGGCTGAAACATCCAAAGAGAGCAATATATTACCCCACAAAACTGCAACATTATTTTTACAGATGTTTGTATGGTAGGGGGCACAAACTTGCCTCCCACTGCAACTCTGGGGAGCTATATTTTTCTTAGTTTTCAACAAATCACTTTCTAGGCAAATTTGCTGATTTAAGGCTTCCTTTCCAGCCATGTTGACTGAGTTTTGCTATCTGGTCCCAGAAAAAAGTTGAGGAAACCATGCAAGGGTCTATTTTGCCCCATGTAAGGGATTCCGAAATCCGGGAAAATTTTGCTTGAGGAATCCAGAACCCTGGGCTTTGGAATCCAGAATACAGCTCAAGGAATCTGAAATCCTACTAAGGAATGGAATCCAGAATCTAAGTTCCACTGACAAAGACTGCAATCAAGTAACTGGAATCCACAATCCATGGCGTGGAATCCAGAATCCAAGACTGTCTTGGATTCCCTTAGATGGGGCGATCTATTTCATCCACATACTCAAGAGTTAAAAGACTCCATCATTAAATCTGGGAGTGGAAGGTTTATACATGGAGTTCATTGCATAATATAAACAAAAGCAATCAAAATCAGCTTATAAAATGATTACATTTAACAGTAAAACATTGCTCTAAAAATTACGATACATTAAAAGCTCTGGGTTCATAACATACTACAAATGGTATGGAATGCAACAAACTTAGCCCAGAACTTTCAATTTCTAAAGCAAAATGGTAAAGGTGATGATGTGATACAAATGAAAGCTATCAACAACGCAACAGAATTATGTAATTGCCTTATCTTCACACTTATCTGGAATTTTAAATACGCAATATATAGTCTGATTATAAACAAAAACATTAAAGGCAAAAAATGCCCTTGTGAAATAACAAATAAACTAATCATTGTTACTTCCTCACCCCTCTCTTTTCATAACATCCTCATCTCCGCAGTCACAAGCTCCTCCAGCCTGACTTTTGAACATATTAAAATCATGTCCTTCGTGATTTCCAGCGTGAAAACAATCCGCACATAATGACATACAAGGAGAAATGCCACAATCTCTACAGCGATACGCCACAAAATTCTTATTCCATACCAGACCACAAATAGTTGGTGTGTCGTAAGAACGCAACACATTTCTAAATTCCTCTGGAGGCCTTCCTCCAGCAATTAACCACAGACACCATTCTTGTCTTTCCGCGTCAAAAGGATGTTGAAGACTAAGTACACCGTCTAAAAAAGCTCGTATTTCCCTCTTTCCTTTCTCCGTGTGACAGTGAGCTCTGAAATTAGCAGCTGTGCTTTGCTTGGCTCTTAAAGAACCACCATCCGCCATGTTTTATTTTTGTCATCATTCGTTGTCTGGTACTCAGTGCTCATGCGTGAAATGCATAGAAAACGAGAGAGGACTGAGGCCAGTAAAACTGCGCTTGCGCGATTTCCTTCCAGTCAATCCAAGATGGCGACCAGTGCCGTGAGTACGACGGACCGGTTTTATTTCACCAAAGAACAATTACAAAATACACCATCTCGAAAGAATGGAATTGACCCAGAGAAGGAGCAAAGTTACAGGCAACAAGCGGCAACGCTGATTCAAGATATGGGGCAGCGTCTTTCCGTGTATCCTTTCGAAAAAAGTCGTTTCTTGTCAAGTGTTCGTCTACGAAAAATTGCATAATTATTGCAGAGTTGCAATGTTAGTTAAGCCAACGAAGTAGACTTCAAGATGTGATTTTTTTTTTAGTTGAACGGTAAATTAATACTTTTGCCACATATTTGAATTCCTTAACCCGTTTTTGTAGGAGCCAGCTGACAATTAACACCGCAATTGTGTACATGCACCGGTTCTATATGTTCCACTCATTCAGTAAATTCCATCGAAATGTAAGCTTTTCCATTTGCGTTGTATTTTACCACAATAATTCTTTTTAATATGATTAACTGTAGAATTTCCGTTTTTCTTTTTGGAGGTGTCTATGACTCACCTAACGCCTATCTGGCCTTTATCAATTTAACTTTATTCAGGTTTTCTTATACTAAAGTTTTGTACAGTCTGTAATATTTAACAATTCTTGTGCAGAATGTTGTGACTAAAACTGTCTGGACAGTTATTTCATAAAAATCCTTTACGTTGATGCTTAATTTGTTTTTTAGACTTGTAGAAGTGTTAAAGCAAGTCCCTTGGCTATTTATTGTATTCATTTGTACTGTTTCATAGCACCTAGCTCCATGTTGTCTTTTCCTTGCTGCTAAAATTGAAGAACAGCCACGTAAATTGGAACACGTTCTTAAGGTGGCCCATGCCTGTCTACACAGAGATGCTCCACCATTGGATCTAAAGAGTGAGGTACAAGCAGATTATATTTGTTTATTGTGCATTATTGTGCTTTTCTTTAAAAACTAATAGCCCACGTTCGATATATTAAAATTCTAACATGACCCTGAGGCTTACTGGTCATTTTTCCATACTTGGTTTGGTTTTCTTTGTGCTCAAGTCTCTTCTGGGAATTGCGAGACAATGGAGTTGTGAAAAATTTGCAGTTTTGACCCTAAAGACTCAGAGTCATGTTAGAATTTTAATGTATCAAAAGTGGGCTGGTAGATAATAATCAAGGTTTGTACATGTACTTTACTTATGCCAGCCAACTTTTACGCATTATGGGTGATTCTGATGCCTGCTGACTTAAGACATCGATGTAAGGCATCCAGGACAATTTCTCATGCATGATTCAGAAGAGTTGTTCTTAAACACAATTAATAGCAAAATTTAATTCCGTTTACCTGAAAATATTCCAAAAGCACCCTTAAGGTTGATCTCGTGTTAACACACCTAAACTGTTGCCTTTGAAGTAGCTTTGGAAGTGCTCAAAGGTCGGTGGAACAACTTCAGACATTTTCGACAACATTCAGAAGTCTTTGAAAATCGACAGTAATATACAGAAGTCCCTGTGACATGTTCAGAAACTCCAGTCATGACACAAGGTGAAAATCTCACACATTCGACTTGAAAAAAGTTGGCTTGTCTAGTATTTGTGTATGGTATGAGGGTTACACTAAAGTACCATGACTGTATATTTGCTTATTTCAACGCAGTTAAATTGTTGCTCTTTTTCTTATCACCGGCATTATTCTTTGGGACAAAATACATGTACTGCCCTTTTATTGATTAAGGTGTATTTTTGCATTCAGGAATACTTGCAACAAGCCCAAGACTTGGTTGAAAATGAAAGCATCCTGTTACAAACTCTAGGTAAAGAAAAAACAGAGATACACATTAATAGCGGAGCTCCATGCGCATGCGAGCATAGCCCCATACCTAAGAAAATGCATTTATCTACCCATCAGGGAGATTTTGGTAATCACATGACTGTATTTCCAACCTACCGACCAACCGACAGCCTGTCCATCCACAACACAGGCATACCAGTGTAAAATAACTCAATCAACAGGTATAGCAACTCAAGGTTATTTTGGCAAGAAATCGCATAGCCACTAGCATCTTGTGAAGCAGAGAAAGAGGAAGTACGTACCAGGCCAGCGAAGCTCAACAAGACAAAGAGCAACAGAGAGCTAGAGCACGAGATAAAAAAACAAAGGAGATGTTTTATTTTGGAAGAACAACATGAAATTTTTGTAGCTGTGGTGAGAAAATGAGAAATGCTAGCGGCCACTAAGGTGTCAAAGAAAATGAGCGGCAGTGAAAAAACAAGTGAACTAAAACTTGACAACATTTCCTCTGCAAAACATGTAACTGGGAAGTTTGTGGAAGTTTTACACTGTATTCAGTTATTGTCTATGTAAAGTTCAAAGACCATGTTTTAACATTTCAATCTTATTAAGGTTCCCTCATTAGTAATTTAAAGTGTGTGCATTTTATTCTTCCTAGTCACAACTACATGTAACCCTGCATTTACTGGCAACCTTGCCAAGGGGTGGTACATATTAATCAAAAAGTTTTTGAATGATTGCAGGATTTGAGATCACCGTACATCACCCACATACTTATGTTGTCAAATGTATTCAGTTGGTCAGAGGTGAGTACACTTATTTCGTTCAATACATGGACATTACTTTGTGCATGATCCGTACTCCCAGGCAAAGGAGGTTGGCTATGTGCCAGATTAAACCTAGCTTGCGAATACAGCTGTCTCTCCTTGCTCCTTGTTGCTAGGGCCGTTCTGCAAGAGAGATGTCCATGCCAGAATGACAGAAATGCCATACTGATGACGTATGTGTAAAATCTGTGCAGTATCTGATAAGCTGCCCTGAAAAAAAGTCCCAAGCAGCGAAAGAGCAAGGAGTGACAGGTGTATTTGCAGGCTAGAATTAAACAACCTTACACCTAGAGAAATGTGATTTCAACTTTTGAGTCTGTGGCCATTAAAGTGATGCAAGAAATAGGCCCATCACATTTTGTCAGGGTTCACATGTAAATCTAGAGTACACTCATGCTTTGCTAATACATGTAATATTGATAGCCAGCTTCCATCTGAAAGGCCATCTAGTGAAATGTTGTGAACAGGAGACTCAAAAGTTTGAATTGCATTATGTAACTCACTTCTGTGGAATTACTGCCTGTTTGTAAAGTTGTAGGGGTCATAGTTTTGCTTCGACTTGCACTTGTTTTATTCAGGTGTAATTTTAAATGGTGAGTTCATTGCTCAGGTATAGGTTTCGTCAGTGTGGCTTAGAATTTGTAAGAAATTTTTTTCTTTCTAGTTTTAAGTTCAAAGCTTGCAATGATACCAAAAGTAAACAAAAGAGATCCAAGTGGAAGTTAAGCTTGGTCAATAAAATTTTATTATTATGTTGAAATAAATGCAGTGACTAAGCCCTTTAATTCTTCATTTGGATTACTGTATCAATGCATCATCAATTCAGACTCTAAAACCCTTTACTGTCAGTGTTATCTAGATCTGGTTGCAATGTACATGTATTTAGAAATTTATGCACTGGTGATGTACATTTTACTTGCACAGTGCAGGTCCATTGTATTTATTTAAGATTCAACTGTATGTAGTACTTGTAGTGAACAACTGAATATTTCTAATTTAACATTTCCCACTGCCCACTTCAGCAAGCAAGGACCTTGGACAGACCTCCTACTTCATGGCCACAAACAGGTAGAGCCTTACAACCTTGCATCAATCTAATCATTACAATGTAAGGCTTTCTTGTTGAGATAAGCTACATGAGGATATCCACATAGAATGCTAGGTTGTAATACTTGAAAGATTCAAAGTCTTTTTATAATATTTGCATTTGGTGTTATTCCAGCAGTATTGTCTTCCTGTCATATACAACTGCTGTATTAGCCTTTTGGATTGTTATACAAATAATGTCATGACCAACAACGTCAACTGCAGAGGAGATTTCCCTGTACTTGTTCAGTTAAAATTCCATGTTCCGGTGAATATTTTTCAGTTTCACCATACTCAAGGCGGTTTCACTCCTGGTGTTCTGCTTTGATATTTTGAGCCTTAAAATATTCGAGTCTCAAGGAGCAAAAGAAAAGGAAAATTCATAAATTAACGTGTTTGTGGGTAAGAACAGATGTCCGAACTTTGGGGTTTGTTTACAACAAAGGTCATCAAAAGTCATGTGAAACTACCTGTGAAATCTGATGCTCAGAAGATCAATTAACTTTGACTGTCCTTAATAAGAGTTCCCTTTATGACAGAGTGCTTTGAGGATTTCTGACAATTTCAGCGGGGAATTTCTTGTCTGAAATGACCATGTGTGCTTTATTCTGTAGCCTTCACCTCACTACGCTGTGTCTCCAATACAAACCGCCTGTAGTGGCATGTGCATGTATTCACTTGGCCTCAAAGTGGTCCAACTGGGAAGTAAGTAATTAAGACTTTACAAGAGAAGGACTCTTCATTAATCCTTGGAAGTTTGAATTTCTTTGGTGATTTGTATAATTAGAAACCTTTGGACAACCCCAGTAATGTTTGACGAAAATTACGGAACCAAAAAGCTAACCCACAAGGAGATTGTAAATTTCTCCTGGAGTGTAAGACTTCATATCTTACTTCTTTCACTGGAAGAAAAAGAGTTTGTCTCTCAAATGTGATATGAACACAGATTCAAAGCTGACCAACTGCAACTGTTTGTCCTCTATTTTGTTTAATTGTCTGGTTACATGTACTTTTGTTGTCAGTGTAGTAACATTTGTTGATTTATTTATCTTTTTAGATTCCAAGGTCAAATGATGGGAAAGACTGGTGGGAATACATTGATCCATCTGTAAACAAAGCAATGTTAGATGGTATGGCTTTCATGACTTCTTTATATTGTTTGCATGTTTGCTGTTGATTGGTTTACTTCTTATGGGTAACATGCCTGGCTATACTGCTAAGGCATCCATTATATTTACCCCAAAGTAAGGGTTAATAATAACAATCTTAGTAGTAGTACATGTCCACAATGCAAGACACTTGTATGCATTTCAAATATCTTACAGAAATTGCTCAAGATTTTCTTAGAGTCATGGAAAAATGCCCCAATAGACTGAAAAGGAAGATCAACACAGTGACTAACTTAAAGGCAAGAAATTTGAGTTTTGTTCTTCTTGGTATTTGCTTTCATTAGATTTCAGCCACATTCTGTTTTTGTTTTGTTTTGTTTTGTCCCCCACTCTTATTGTGTCTATAGGATTCTCTGTAAAAGGGCTTAATTTGTAAAGGATTATAAATATTTGTGTTCGAGTTTTTTAGTTTTACCTTGTGAATGTAATAGAACATTAATCATGTGTGAGAGTGTTTCATCTGGTTAGCCAATTGCGAGAGAAGTGTTTAAAAAACGCGTTTGAGAAGAATTTTGAGATAATTAAATTTATGGTATAAAAAGCTAGGGTCCAGGTAGCTCTTGAATCAATGGTTTGTTTGAGTATTTTACGCAACTTTAACACAAAAATCACATTGAGATTTCCGTTGTTTCTCACTTCCCTTCCTCTTCATACATGTAGGGCCACTAAAAAAGGCGTGAGCTGTGGGTTATTACGGATGCTGTTTTGTTTGCATTTCCAGGGTGTATCACACAGCAAAGTAGCTAAAGGCGAGTCAAGTAAAGTAAACAGTGTAGCTAGTAGTGGTAACTTGGGACTACCTTCGGCTTCTAGTCACAATAGCTTGGATGGAACCCATAATGGATTTAATTCTCACGACGGAGGGCATTCGCAAAATGATTTGGATGCAAAGGCGTCCCATAGTAAGTCAAGACTTGATAAAGATAAAGAAAAAGAAAGGGAAAAGAGAAAAGAATCCACTTTGAGTAAACTTAAACCCTTGCCATCCTCCTCTACTGTGACTTCTTTAACTGGATCAGGCTCGTCTTCATCAGCTATGTCCTACCCGCCTTTACCTCCATTACCACCGCTTACATCTAAATATGCAACAGTCACTACTGCTAGTCAAATGCAACCCAGTGAATCAAAGGTTTCTACAACTGCAGCTCATTCTACATCGGGGATGTCATCGTCAGCGAAGGATCCGTTATCTTCAAGAAGCAAACATAGACACCATCATCATGATGAATCTCAACCTGCAAAGAAACACAAGTCTTCGCATTTGCACTCACAGCGATCTCATTCCTCAGCACATCGAAAGCCTGGGTCCTCCTCACAGTCATCGGATTCTTCACCGTCTGCAACCATTAAGCATTCCCACTCATCTGCGCACAAAAGCTCAAGCCATGCTGTTAAACCTTTGAACCCTCTTCACCCTTCGGCTTCACAAATGCCCCACACTTCTTCCCACTCCTCTTCCCACTCCTATTCACACTCCTCCAGGAAACCGCATCCGTCATCTCATCACACCTCCTCAAGCCATAAGTCATCTTCGTCGCATCACGGACATGGCCATTCTTCATCGCAAAAGTCTTCCTCGGGATCAATCGATTCTTCTAAAAAACACTCAAGTACAGTTAAACCAGTAGCAACAGCAACAGTTGCTAGGCCAATAACTCCACCGCCACCCCCTCCACCTCCCCCACCCGGAGTGGAATTTAATGTGTTGTCTTCGTTGAATGCGCCAGGAATGCTTGGTGTTTTTCCTGGTGCGGAAATGCAGCTCCCGGTTGGGCAATTTCCCCCACAATTTTTGCCACCAACCTTTACTTCAAGTGTGATGCCAGGTATGATGCAAGGAATGGTTCCCCCTCCACCACCCCCTGATCCCGAACCTTCCTCGCCCCCTCCACCACCCCCTCCAATGCCTTGACAGTGGTAGTGAAGAGTTGATCGCGGGCAGTTTATTGAAAAGGACAATCATTAGCGTCGCCTTAGAAAGCGTTCCGCGTCTACATGCTCCATGCGAACGTTGGAAATCTTCCAAGCACGACGTAGAAAATATAATTGATTCTTCAAGTTCAGTTAATAGAAAAAGGTGCAATCATCAGTGAGCTATTCCAAAGAGCCTCGAAAGAAATGTTTGAATACGTATTATCTTAAAAAGATAAAATCTTGAATCATCCAGGAAGCGCATTTTCCAAAATATTACAAGGAAACTGAATCTTTGATGTATAACTATCTTTAAAGTGACTGTTGGCTGTTAGGGTGCTTTGCGTGACAACGTAAACTCCTGCCCGATATTAACGGACGCAACCTTGTCGGCCAACAGCTCCCAACATTGTTGGATGTTACATGTTGCATGTTGCATACCCTGTTGCATGTTGTTGGAAGTTGTTCTATCTTTTCGTGCACCACTGCCAACACGGACACAACAACTCCAAACATTGTTGGTCCAACAATGTTGGGAGTTGTTGCGTCCGTTTGCACTAGCTTTCTTCTGATGTCGCTGGCTACTGAACTACGCTTGGGAGCGACTCTTAGAAGCTTGGCGTTTGCTAATTATTTTATGTATTTATATGCTTAGGCACAGCAAATTTTTCTGTAAATAACAGTGTAATTTTCTTTCTTTACATTATGTAAGGATGAACAGCCAAAACAATGAAAATAAGATATTACACTATGACGACAATTAAGCGACATTAAGTGGTGTCATAATCAAAACTGTATATTTACATATATTTTGCACAATGCCGTACAGTTTGTTACTCTACATTTCTACCTTCACAAGACTGCTTTTCAACAGCAAGGTAGCCTGGAGGCTTAAAAGCCCTCATGAACTAATAAAAATAAACGATCCACGGAGTCCAGAAGGTTCCGTTTGAATATAGGAATAATTTATTAACGTCTTACTTTGTATATCCTCATCGATAAACCCAATTAGAAAATCCAAAAGGATCTTTATTGATGCATCTTGAAGAGATTCTGTAGTCTATATCTCCTGATCGACGCGTTACAAACCGCCGTGTTGGAACAAAAAATTGCGGCTAGCCATTTCCTCGTAGGTGCCAAAAGCGAAGCTTTCCGAACGAGAAATGTACGGAAATCCTCTGGAACCTGTGAAGATTCGAGTCGTGATCGGAGCCATAAACTGATAGGAATTGAAGGAGCAATAATCAACACTCTCCATTTTCCTGCGATTTCGCCCCAACATCACTGGTTATTGGTCAGTTTGAAAACGGAGACTTCTTCTGTTTAAGCCTTCCATCTACACGTAAACGGCGTTTTCGGGAACCAGAAACGAAGTTTTTTTTAGAACGTCGGGTTCTCGTTTACGTGTGGACGGACGGAAACGGAGGCTTTTGAATACGATGACGTCGTACATACTACTACCATTACGCATGCCCTGTATTAAAGGGATGTTATCGTATTTCCATCGTTTTAGCTTTTTTCATCTTAACGGGCAAAAACGATTCAAATACGCTACCTGTGGACGAGCGTGTTTTTGAAAACGGAGATATTTTCCTCAGATTTCAAAAATATCCGGATACGTGTGGCAGTCATGGCCATAAGCGAAATCGTTTGTTTTTTACTATATATAGTAAGCTCTGCGCTTTTCAGATTACGGCTCCGACTCTGTTGCTGTTGAACCGCAGCCTATAAGATTATGTGAAGGGTGTGGCCTGCGTAGTAAGTGCTTGAAATTAATGGGCGTAAGAAAGAACTGGGCGCGCGAGGGGGGATAAAGAGCTTCCTCTCCCCTCGCGTGTCTCCCTCACGCGCCCACTTCTTCCAAGCGCTGCTACAAGGGTGCTACAAGCTCTGGGAGCTTTACTGGCGACTTTGGAATGCGAGAAACAGAATGACGGTGAACTGTCTCCGAAGAACTAAAAGCTTTGCTGGTCAAAGGAACAATGTACGAAAAATAAACTTCAAATCCTTTCACAATTACATCGACTTATCTAATATATTAATTTGAAGAACGTTGGCAGAAGTTAATTAACGTTAATATACTTTACTTTAACTATAAATTGTGAATTAGAATTATATCTGCAATACATCGCATTGTGTTTTTTGGTTAAAAGGAGTCTACTGTAGTCTGCTACACAACCGTTTTTACTGTCGTCACGCAACGCTCCTCCCAGATGTTAATCTAGGCTGATTTTTACAAATAAAAAGGTTAACTTTTTTAAGGAATATACGACACTGCAAACGGCTGTGTAGCAGACCAAGTCCACTGCAGTTAGCGGGGAAACTGTAATTTTAGGGTGTTGCAAGAGTTTTTTGTGTCCGTAACTGAAAAGGTTTTGGCTTGTATTTCTAGACTGCGAGCAGACTCTCTTTTCTTCAAAATTAGTGAGAGGAAGCGCGCGCGCGAGCGCCTAAGGCGCGAGAACCGAGGGCAGCAGATTGGTCATTTTCGTGTCTCGCGGGTTTTGCTCGACGGAGAGTCTGCGCTTAGTCTGCTGTAATTCTAGTAATGATCAAAGGGTTGCCGTATTGGTCTTGAAAGCCATTGTTTGTGGAAGTTCTAAGGGTCCGTTCGATTGATCACATTCCGGAATAAGAATACGCAAGGTTTTTTTACATACATCTTCTACCGTGTTTTTTGGGCCACTTAAAAAAAAAATATCGACGTTACCTTCGATGAAAAGCATTAGCTTTGTAACAGTTAACTGTGTTTGCGAAGCTACGAAACTTAGGAAAAGCACTCCAAGAAATGCGTTGTAATACCAGGTTACAGGCCTTTAAAACTCGTGGGTAACAGTTTCGATAGCATATATACTCGATGTCAACAGGCAAACCTTCAAAAACGATTCTAGTCCTGAATATTGAATGTAAATTGTCTCGTGATTTGATTGCAAGGCTTTGTTGGGCAGGCATTCATGTTACACTTGACCTCTGTGAAAGGCAGGTTACTTTTCAACTATGACTGCTGGACCAAAAGCAAGAAGCCAAACACCTTCGAGAAGCTTAGGTGCTATTTTCTAAGCTTTTGAAGCAAACCGAAAGTAAGAAGATCAGGTGTCTAGTTAGGCTCGATTACCAGCCGCTGTTTGGGGAAATGAGGCCACACTCATCCCCCGAAAGAACGCTCTCTTCGGGGAGGATCAAAGACCGGACCCGGGAGACGGCGGAAATCGAGCCTAGTGTCTAGTCTATTCTGTACTAAGCTAGCCCCGTGATGGTTAATTTGTTGTAATCTTTAAAGGTTAAGCAAAGTCAAATGTATTAATTGTTAATATTTAATAAATTGGCCAGCAGGTTTCACGTACTTGTTGTAGAAATGTTGAGAAGAGCGGACAGGGCCTATTTCTTTCCCCTTTGACGCAACACTGTAATTCACTCGCATAAAACAAACAATTAAATCACAGTTATCTTTGTTCAAAACAAAAAATCACAGTTATCTTTGTTCAAAACTCCGAAAAGATATCAAGCGTTCAATTCAGATCGGTTTAATCCCGGGGGTTTGTCGGCGATCAAAAATTAATCCAAACAAAAGCGGAATTAGGGGTGGACCCAGGGGGCCCTGCTCCCCCCCCCCTTTTGTCCGGGAATTTTTTTCTTTTGTAAACGTGTGTCGAAGGGTACTTCGAGCTTTGTTACTTAAATATATTTTCTTTAATAGACATTGTTAATGAGAAAATTTATCGAACTTTGTCTTTGCCGGGAGGTTGCGCTCTCGCCGCAATCGCTTCGGCCACTGCTAGCATCATAAAGACCCTCCATAAAGTGTGAATTACTACTTTGACCACAAACACACCTGTGCTTTATTAAATATTTTAGCATTACTTGTTCAATATGGAATCCAGGCATTTGCTTAATTTAAGTGTCCAGAATGCACTAGATTGCACCTCAGAGAACTTCAATCTTTTTTTCCCGGAGGAGCATGCGCCCGAACCTCCCGCGAAAAGTGCGCCGTTCGAAGACCTGATGGGCACTATCGCGCCCATATTGCCACTGTATACTATATCTCTAGGCCCCTTCTATCACAAAATCCTCCGCCCGCCCCTGCATGATGTTTAAAAAAGCATAATTAGCAGGGTTATGGGGGGGGGGGGGGGGGGGGGGGCGCGCTTTCCCTATTTTTACTTTTTAGGGGATGCCTTTACCACCCGAGTATTGCTCCGCTTTCTCCCCCCGGATAGCCCCCCCCCACACCCCCCGCGAAGACTGCGCGGGTGCAAGAGGCATCACGTGATCAATCCCACTGTGCTGGCCATCTTATGCGTTTCTTCGCCCCCCTCACACACCACCGTCCCCCCCCCCCCCCCATTTAGATGTAAAAAAAGTTAAGTTAGGGGGGTTTGGGGGGGGGGGGGGGGGTGGGGGTGCTGCCTTTCGCTATGTCTACATTATAGCGGATAGCTTATCATGTCATACTGCAGCTTGAAGGACCTAATGGAATTTCGAAATATTTTCAGATAAAAGCAAGTTCTAAAGGTCTTGTATTGTCTAGAGAGAGTGTTTTTGAGAACATGGGCCTGGACTGGTTTTTCTACTTTGGACGGATTCTTCAGGAACCAGAATTCCATGAAAATCAGCTGAAATAGCGAGATTTAAAATATCTTGACATGTTTTGACGATAATCAACCTTCGTTTTTGACGGTTGACGGTAAACGGTTAAATCGAAATTAAATTTTAGGCCGTTTGACGGCTGACGGTAAACCCCATTGAAACCTTCCGCTCCGGAATCCAAACCCTTACCCTTTTATATACCATTTTTGACAGAAACGGTACCCCTTTCCCATAGGCTTTTGTCGATTGTGCTCAAAAAACGAGCATATTATGCTTCTGGCAGTGCTCAAAGGTTTTGGAAATTATGCCGCAATTGTGCTTGTTTCTCTGAATTACGCTCCTTGCATTTGAATTATGCCCCTTGGTTTTTGAGCCAAATAAAGGCTGAACCCCGGGTATATTTTTGTTTTATTC